CACGGCCAAACCGCATAGCTACATTGCGTGTACATCAAACTGGTGGAGCATATATAATAGTCTTACAATTCATCTTTGATCCTGTACTATCATCGGTAGGTAGAGCGCCATTGATGATTTCTCCAGCACGGAAGGCCAGGCTGATCAGGTAATCATGGATCTCGTCAAGATCAATGGGTTTGCCGTCATGTTGGTAGTATTTAGGAGCCATGGTTCTCATGCATGGGAATGGAGTCCAAAGGAAATGGAAAGTGTCTTTGACTTTAGTGGATGCTCCGTTTGTACAGTGGGATGGGCACCAATTCGTGGATTGTATATAGGGTCCGAGGAAGAGAGATAAAAGATGATGAGGTCTTCAAATTGAATGAGATGCCGCTCATGCATGAGAACGGAGAGGGGCTCCCAACCTTGTCTGATGCTTCGGGTTTTAGCCATGCCCGGCTCGGGCCGCCGAATGTACTGAGCCTATTTCATTTGGTCTATGTATGTGAGGGGTAGAGCCTTCCTCTGTTGGCAGGTCGGCTGACTGCTGGTCTTGGCGGTAGTGATATTGAACTCGGTCGTGAGCACCACATCCAAAGGGACTTGTAAATTGCTGGGAATTTTAAGTTTGAATGTCCCGTGGTCTAATTTCGAATATAGCTATACCCCAACTATGTGGAAGAGTGGACCGGCCGGTTCGGCATTTGTGGCTCTCTGCCCCTAGATGTCATTCTGCATCCATGAACCAGGAATGTTGCGCAATGCCAGCGAGGAAGAAAGTTCTTTTTGCGCCAAATTTCACCTCTACTTATAGGAATCTATTCGTATCCGAGTGACTACCGGACAATCAAATAATCGTCATCACTGGCTGGAGGTCCTAACGCTCTGGCTCAGTTCTTTGTTCAAGAACGACAGCCTCCCAACAGTGCAGCCTGGTTGATGGTGACCAAGGATACTGAATATCAAACAATTATTAGAAACGTTCATGTATGCTGCCTCACAAGCCTTATTACCACCTCAATCTTGACTGGAGTTCAATGACCCGGGTCCAGTTCCCTGTTCAATATCGTTGGAACCTATTTACAGCTGTCGAGCAGTGTTTCCTGGGTTGTAGTCTCATCGGGGGCATTGGATTATGTATACTTCGTAAAGCCCATCAAACGGTTTCACCACGAGTTTGTCAGGCCTGTGGCCATCGCATCTTCAGGAAATGCCATGCCACCATCATAGCAATATGCAACGCCATTCCGAGGCTTAACTCGTTTCATTACCAGGAGGCGGTGATGATAAAGGCTCTGTTAATGCTGCTAGTCTAGATTGGGAGGAGCTTCGTCAAGAAGCTACCCTGGACAGCATCAGTGAACTGCGTTCGGTAGCCAGCAGCAGAGTTTGGATCACCACCAACAGATACTGCACTATCGGAAATAGCATGGACAGGCTGGAAAGATACTTGCACGGCATTTGGCATGTACACTACCAGGCAGCTAGGTATCTGTCGCGTGAGAGTCCTGAGCACGATGCTATTGTCCTAGATATTCTCTGCATTCAGGGCAAAGGCCCAGTATTCAGGCCAGTAAAAGGGATACCTGATGTTGATGTGGCAAGGGGCCGAGATGACAAACTTTTGGAATGACTTCCCTTCTATCGTACCAGACATGGCAGACTTTTGGATCAACGAGTTCGTGACAATGTCTGGAACCCAGCGGCTTTAGTTGTCCTCCTTTCCCGCTAAAGTGGCCTTGAAATCGCGTCTGCAAGGATCGACTCTGCCGGATTGCCCTCTTCCTGCTCTGTGTTACTTTGGAGGATAGAAATAGATCATCACGCTATTAAGAGGACAGACGAAGAAGACCCAATACGCACGATGAGGTGGGTTTCAATCGCAAATTTGCCACCGTCTGCCCACGCGTGGTTGAATGAGGATGGCGGGAATCTTGTCCATTTGACGGACATCTCGTGAAATGATTGATTGTCCGAAATTCATTAGGCGCGGTGGCTGGCAATTCAATGAATGGCAAATAGCATAGCAGCCGCAATGGATGTTCTGGCCTGAAATTGTAGAGGCCACACGGGGATGAAGGCGAGGAAGACGAGAAGGAGGAGGAAGGCGAAGAGGCCGGCATCAAGGAGAAGATGGACAAAGCGAGTACGATGGTGGGTAAAGACTCTGTTTAGGATTGCTCCCTTCCATGTTGTATTGATTCTCCCTTGCAACTCCGCCGTGCCTTGATGCTGTCGCAGCTCCCTGGAGCGTCAATAGTCCATTGTGCGTCTTCTTGTAAGTCAGCATGCGCACAATCATGCTAGACTCGATAACACATACTTATGGCCCTAGGGCTCTCAGTTCTTAATGAATCAAGTGGTGACAATAGGGCTGACTTCTGTCCCTGTGACAGCCATGTAATTTTGTATACATCGCGGGGCGCGCAACTCGGAAAAGAGGGGTCACCGCCCAGTGTTAGAAGGTCCTCTTCTCAATCACGAGCAGTGTCTGACACCGCGCGTTTGTTTTACCAAACTCCAGTAGTCTGTCATGCTTTCTATACATAGGAACTTCACATGAATGTACTATTTCAAGCCAGATTGAACAGGGGGAGCCTACTATGGCTGGATGGATACCCAATCGAGTGGGCGGTACCGAAGTCCTGAAATAGTTGACCCCCACCAGCCGGCGGGGAAAAGAAGACGAAGAAAAGGAAGAGAAAGCACGTGTTACGTGATATCAGCGTTGTGCAATTTGTCGCCTCTTTTACCTCTTCCCTCATTTTGAAGTTAAGAACCCTTTAACATGCCGACAGAGCTAGAAGAGGTAGGTAGAACCACGCCTTTGACTGAAAGGAAGCCCAGGGTCCTCAGTTTGAGACTGATGTATTCGCATCGACCAGCTTGTTGAATTCCTCCACCATGGAAACACCCCGATCAGACAGATTGGTAAGCTACAGATTGCATAGACTTCTGTTTCTCAAATCGCAGGTTTCTGCTATTTTCATATCTCGCCATCTTCCGAGGCATACACCAGCGTCGTTCTGACCTCTGGTCTTCTCAGCATGCGAAAATCTAGTTGGCTTTTCGGTCTCCCAACCGGAACTTTTCAAACGCCACCAGCTTCTACCAGTCCGTGACTTGAAGCTTTTGGTCCGCGACTACACAGTCAGTACTCGGGTCCTTCATTTGTGCCGACAAACATTGACCAAGGCATTCGCTGATCTTCTTCCGACACCGAAAGCCTATCGCCAAAAACGCGATAACAATACTCATCAACCTTTCAGCCGATGATGAAGTCTTAGCGGCTCTTGCCGAAGACGATGCTTTCGTCGAAACCCTCTTAGTTAAACTGACGGTGAGTTGTTTAATCGGTATCAATATCTGCATAGCGGCCTAACACCCAGCACTACAGAATGTTAAGGAGCCGAACGCGGATGATGTCGCCATGTTGTTCGCCAACCTCGCGAAATCAGAAAAGATGAAGAAATTGCTCGCGCTGAAACGGAAGGTTCCCGAGGGGGTATCTAGTTCCGCTAATGCGATCGATCAGCTGATGGACTGTTTTGTCAAAGGGGCCGAGGGCACCCTTAACAAAAACGCCAATTTCGACTATCTCTCCTATTTGTTTGCTGATCTCTCAAAATATGAGGAAGGGCGGGCTTATTTCACTACAAAGCAAGAGTACGATGATGTTGTGCCAGTGACGAAACTAACCGTGTTCACGGAACACGCGAGTGGGATCCGGAGAAAAGGAGTCGCGTCGACTATCAAGAACGTTGCATTTGACCTGCCGTTTCATCCCAAACTCCTCTCTGAAGACGAGGCTGATATTCTTCCCTATATCCTGTTGCCTATCATGGGCCCTGAGGAATATGATGACGAAGAATCTATGGATATGCTGCCAGATCTCCAGCTGCTGCCGCCCGACAAACAAAGAGACAGTGACACTAGTATCATTGTGACACACCTTGAGACTCTGCTGCTGCTCACCACGACGCGTGAGGGACGGGATAAGATGAGGGCCATCAAAGTATATCCTATAATCCGAGAATGTCACCTCCACGTTGATGACGACGCTGTTCGGGAAGCCTGCGATAGGCTAGTTCAGGTTTTGATGCGGGATGAAGAGGGCGAAGAAAAGCCGCATCCCCCTATCGACAGGAATGTATATGATGAGGATCAAAAGGTTGAGGAGCTATTCTAAGGATCGGCATTCTGAGAGGTGCGCATTTGTTGTCAGGCATCCGGGAGCCCGTACCAATAGAGGAGCCTAGTGGCCTTTATACAAAAAAACATCCAAAAAGTCTTCATAATGATGCATCTTTTCAACTTCTTTCGATAAAGAATTGAATTTGTAAGCTTGGACGGTCACGTATTGTAGTCTAGACCTGTGACGCTGTTGTCAGACTGAAGTCTAGTTAAACTAGTTACTTAAGTAGTTAGACGGATGCATTTGTTTGCATCGTTGCCAATGATATACAGTATGTATATATTTACCTTTATGACCAGCCTCCTTGCCCCAAGCATTTCGCAGGATATGCCAGACTGAAAATATTTCATAACCACAGTCCGCTTTTGTATCCAAAACTTCAAAGTATTTCTTTGATCTGTCCGGGCTGAGATAAAAGGTATATTACATAGTAGTGATAATGTCCAGTTAACACCATAAAGGCTGACGACTTGAGTGAGTATCTGTAAAATACAACGTAGCCCACAGTGACATTATCTGAGCAGTGGTAACACCAGACGGAGTATGCCGTTGTACCTTTGTGACGCCACCATCTTTGTCAACAAGTGAAGGACCACTTACATAATCAATTTCACTTCAGTCGTCTCGCGTCCGCCCGGCTTCACTTCAAGTACTCAACGCCTGAGTAGTTATCTACTCTCGCTCGTGATCTTCATCTTCCACCCGGCACACCGCATGAATCTAACTCTGGCCTTAGGCACGACACTTGCAGTATTCAAGCCAGTTTTCCTTGAAGACTTGCTAAGGGCTTCCCTGACCCCGACGAGTACCACAGAACGTTATTATGACCACACCTACTAATGATCAGGCTCTCAAGACCCCGACGGGGTCGAACGGTCCTCCACCACTGCGCATTCGCCGGCCAAAAGTGGCCGATCCCCTAGTGCGACCGAAGAGGAGACCGGCAATGAGACCGCCAGCTCCAACGTCGGCAGCAAATGGCGCATCAAGAATGCCCAACTCCAGACCAGTCACTTCGGGCCAGCTACCAGGGGCTCGCGCTGAGAAAAGCCTGACCCCAAAGAATGATTTCTCGGCAAACGGTTTCAGCGGCCCGTTGTTGTCTGAGAATTACGTTGATTACCCCATCGTGACTACAAGACGAGCATTGCGCGAAGGCTTGAAGCACCATATCGCCAGGTTCACCTCGAAAAAGTCCGTCGATCCTCGCGACGAAAGTCAGTTTACTCGCCCCGTTAGACTCCAGCGCCGAGATCCACGAGCACGGCCGAACGAAGCGAACGTCGAGAGAGGCCAACTCAATTCGAAACCCGGCTCCGAACAAAGCACGCAGATGGATGAACTTGAACGCGAGGAGTTGGAGGCTAGGAAAGCAGCTCGTGAAAAAGAACGCGCAGATAACATGGCCCAAATAGCCCCTTCCGTCGGCTCAGCGCCGAAAAGGCATAATGCTCCCAAACAGAAAACCCAGCAAGTGACTAAAACAGACATGACCCCCGAGGAGATTGCCAGGACCCGGATCAAGTATGAGGAGGCCCTTCCATGGCACTTGGAGGATTTTGACAACAAAAATATCTGGGTGGGAAATTATGAAGCCGCGTTGTCAGAGACCCACGCAGTCTTTGTGCTTGAGAATACAGGGAAGATGAGAATGATACCAGTTGAGAAGTGGTATCGCTTCAGTGCGAAGAATACATTCAAGGCTTTGACCATAGAAGAAGCCGAGAGACTTATGGCTAAGAAGATCAAAGATCCGCGGTGGTTTATGGAGAAACAACAAGAGCAAGCTCAACGGAAGGAACTGGAACAATTTGCCAGACAACAAAAAGTGTACGCTGGTAAACAGGGAACCCCAGGCGGTGTCGAAGGATTAGAAGCGGATGAGATGGACTTCGAGGAGGATAGGTTTGCCGATGATGAGGAGCATGATGATCTTTTCAACGAGGATGAGGAAGCCAAGGCCGCCGAAAAGCGAATCAAACAAGACCAATTGAAAGCCAATGTGTTTGATCTGAAGAACGAAAAGGACTATGAAGAGGAGGAACTTAGAGAGAAAAGAGAAAAGGAAGCCCGTCGAGTGCTTGGAAAGAAAGTACGCAAGGCCCTCCAGAAAAGGGAAAAGAACTATGATTATAGTAGCGGTTCAGATGTGAACCCTTATTCAGATGAGGAGGTACAGCTTTTTCGTCCTTACCCTTTTTCTATGTACACTTGTACAGAATCTTTGTGACGAACTGACGTTGGACAGAGCTCGGACGAAAGTGAAGCCGAACGACAGAAGGAGGAGGAAGAGGGCAAAGCCGAGGAGGACAAGAACAAGAAAGAGCCCTCAAAAGGCAACCTTACTCCATCAGGTCGCTCACGACACGCCGATCCGGCCAAAAAAGGCTCTGCCGCGGCACCTAGGAAGCGGTTAGGGTCTCCTTCTGATGCAAGTGGTACAGATACGTCCCGTAAGAAGGGGAAGAGCAAACATCCGTCTTCCCAGCCAACACCTCAGCCACCATCTCGCCCTATGTCTCCAAGCGCGTCATCATTACCCGTACGTTATACCTTCAGTTAAACTGCATTTGTTTTGATTATTGACTCGGCCTAGGTCAGCAAAAAGCGTGTTCGGAATGTGCTAGCAGGCGGCGCGGGATCTGCTAGCGATGTTGACGGCGGGGCTGGATCGGGAGGCGAAATGAGTGAGAGTGGAAAGGTCAAGAAACTAAAGCTCAATCCTCCGTCAGTGGCATCACAGAGTGTGACACCGCAGGGCTCAAGGGCCGGCAGTCCGGCTCCCTTGGGTAGCAAGAGCTTCTCCGGAAGTCGTGCTAGCAGTCCGGAATCTTTGAGGGGTAAGTTAAATGATCCTATCATTTTGCGCACTACGAGCCGATTTACTGAGTGACTGAACACCCGCAGGTCCAACACGCATTTCAACTCCGGGTCCATCTGGTAGTGCCCAGGGCTTCCCAACACCCGCAGAAATCCATGCTGCTATTCCGCAGTCTGGTATTGGAAGTAGTGATCTGCTTAGAATCTTCCGTCCTCGTATTGGGGAATCCAAAGAGAACCACCGGCGGTTCATAGCAATTGTCAAAGATGTTGGAGTGTACGGGAAAGAAGATAGGCTCCTACGACCTGGTTCACTGAAAGAGACATAATCCGATACATTACCCTTATGCAGATCGTATAGCAGTGTTGTCTCGCACCAATGAACAAAGCGCTTTCGCGAAGCGTGAGCGATTGATGGAAAGACCAGAACAAGCTTTGCCGTTGCACTGACTTAAAGAAAGGATCATCATGGTTTTGTAGGGGTTGCTGGACAGTGTACAGCTAGCTATAGGACACAAGAGACAAGGGCGCTACCGGTGTACCTAATTTAATTCGATAATCTACATAAGCTGAATGTTTTCGTACCTGTATACTTCCTCAAGGCAAAGTGATCTTCTTATGCCCGATCGTTGTCAAGTCTCGTAATTGTAGCGAAAGAAGAGGCGGCAATTTAGCACCGAGCGAATCGACTTGTGCACATCATAATGTTGCAAGTTGTAACAAATGCAAATGAGCAGAGTGAAATCACCTCAATTCGTAACAGAGTATCTAAATGAAATTTCACATCTTGTATTCTCATTCGCACCGTCACAGTTGATTGATACGAATATATTCCTTCATCAATCGCCAAGGGTCTGACATATTGAACAGTGATATTAAGGGCAATTTCGAAACACCAGCGCTAGAACAAGACTGAAATTTGGAAACAAACGAACAACAGAACTCCTATATATATCAAATGAATCTATCCCTAGGCATCAGCCACTCCAGTGTTGCGTTCACCATCCTCATATTTCTCCCAGTTGGCTAGGATATGCGCGATTCTGGGAGAGTTGGTGAGTCTGTAAACATCCTCGAAGTACTCCTTGGTGATCTCGAACGGTCTTGCTGTGACGTTCGGGATATATTTGCCGATCAGTTTACTAGGGTCAATAGTAGTCTTGTTGATCTTCTTGAGCAAGAAAGAGCGGAAGGGCTTGACACCAGAACGAAGGAAGGTGCTGTGGAAGGGCACATCAATGCCCCGGAGAGGAATGGTGGCGAAGCCGCGCTCGAGAGCGATAGGCTTAGGCTTCGACTCTGTCTGCTTGACACACTCCTGGATGATATTGACAAGGTGCGTCTTGACGTCGTCCAAAGACATGCTCTGCATAAGTGCAGGGATGTCAATGTTCTGAGCCTTGAGATAGTTGAGCAGGTTCGTGAGACAGTCGAGTGCCCGAAGCTACAAAGAAGTTAGAACAGAACGCACGATAAGGTGTAGATATAGGGGTTATGACTCACATCACCGGCAGCAACATATTGCATGTTGGCGACATTGTAGTTGACAATCTCCAGGAGCCAGCCAGTCTCCTCAGAAATGTTCTCCACCACATATTGCAAGGCTTGTTCGTTGAACGTCTTGGAGATTCGGCTCGGGTTGACAGCACACATAGAGTAGTTAGAGCGACCTTGCTCGTCGCGCTCAACAGCAACCTGCATTGTCAAGCCACGATAGAATACAACAGAGACCAAGCTTTCAATGGGCATGACATCGGCAAGTGCGGCGAGAGCCGAGTACTCACCCAGTGAGTGACCTGCAAAGCTGCTATCTCTTTGGACGAGACCCTTGGAACGCATGTCCTCGAAACTTGCCTTCTCCATCAAAGTCAGAGCCGGCTGAGTGAACTGAGTTGCGGAAAGCAGGCCAGAGGGCGAACGGTAAGTGTAAGACGCCGTATCCTCATCGATCTCCTTGAAGATCTTCTCAGACTTGATGGATCCATCTGCGTTGACGGTTTCAAAGGTCATCGACATGTAATTCTGCCGGATAGCTTTACCACGAGGACCACCAAAGTAGACAGTCAGCTCCTTGGGGTTGTTCTTCACAATGTCGATGATTGAGAGACCGTAATTCTCGATGAAATGGCGGTCTGCACGATCCCAAACCTCTTTGGCAACTGGGCTGTTGGCGTACAATTCCATACCCATTCCCTGCTCCTGGGATCCCTGGCCGGTGAAGACGTACGACGTGACAGGTTGCTCTACTTCAGCCTCACCAAGGAGAACCTTATCTTCAGTGTCTTTGTTGATGACCTCGACCTTGATGATCTTACGACCAGCGATCATACCAACATGCTGTAATTTGACGGCGATGACATCATTGGGCAAGACCATGCCAACCAGGGACACATGGAAGCCTCGAACGCGGCCAATGTTGTTTTCGGCCGCCCACGTCTCAACATAGCTGCGGACTGCAGCACTCGAGTACATCCCGTGAGTGATAGTACCGGGCAAGTTGGCGTAGCTGGAGAAGACTCGAGATACATGGATGGGGTTGTAGTCGCCAGAGACACGAGCGTATGTTTCGTTGGACGCAGGAGCGCGCAATTCCAAGGCAGTCTTGCCGCTGAGAGGGATGGGGTTCTCAAAGTAGACCGGTTGTTCAATAGACGTTCCGTTGCGCTGAAGGTAGTCGATCACGGGGTTTCCGTGAGAAGTACCGGCTTCATAGTCCACAGACGCCACTTGGATAATCTCCTTAGTGGGGAGCTCGAGGAGTACTTGACCAATTGTCTGGACGTGGCTGAAGACAGACTTGTTCTTGAAACGGATCAGGCTTTGAAGACGGAAAGTCAAGGTCTGACCCAACAGCTCAACATCGGGGCCATCCATGCGGAACCATTCCTTCGAGCGAAGGATCGCAACATCCCGACTGGAAGCGAGATGAACCTGCATAGGCACTTCGTCCTTGCGCTGGAAGGTATTCTCGAAATCCAGATAGGCTCCACGGTACAGGAATTGACTGGTGACGTGCATGATAGGCTGACCATCTCTTTCAATTGTACCGCAGACTTCAACCATCTTACCAGATTCCTGGTTAATGACAGCGTTGATCTGAGCAGTAGTATCCAGAACATCTCCGACCTTGAGAGGCTGAGCTCCAGGGACCATCTTGAACCCATTGGAAAGGTGAACCAGCTTCAAGAGATCACCATCGATGGTGCGTGGGAAGATAGGCTTAGTGATTGCCTGCCAACCAGCAACAATGGCAAAGTCCATGGGAGCATAGACCTCTTTACCGGGACGGTCGACAAAGGCTTCGCCAGTGTTACCGACTGCATGAACGAAATCAGCAACAGCTTGGGACGTGATAGTGGTACGCCCGCCGCTGAAAGTGGCAGTGGTGGGCGTATCAAATGGAACATCCTTGTTGCCAAACCACACACGGTAGTAAAACTCCTTGATGCGGTCATTGCGGCCGTCCATGACCTCACGGATTGGAGCGTAGCCTGCCTCAGGATGGTACGTGAACAAGAAAGTTAAAGGTACAACGCCGGCCTCGGCCGTTCGTCCTTCATACATAGTAAAGCTGATTTGACTCTGCTCGTTCATCTTCACCTCGACTGTCTTGACAAGCTTGCCAGACTGATAAGGTTCTCTCACGATGATAGTCGTCTTCGAAGGATCATCCGGGAAAGAAACTTCAACATACATACCCGGAACGGGCGCAACAATCCGTTTCATCGGGTTAGTCTGGAAACGATGGCCTTGGACAAATACATCGGCCAGGAACATGGCATGCCGCCAGGAATATGACGGTCCAGCAAGGAGACGCAACCAACGGTCCAAATCCGGCAGGTCAGCGGTAGGGGAGGAGGACAAGCGGTAGGCGACCTTGTTAGCGTCTTCCGAGATGGTGAGGCCGTCGATGTCCGAATCATCAACATCCTGCTGGAAACGACCTCCGAAGTATTCAATAACAGGCACTCCGCTATTATCGCCGCCGTAGACATCCTTGGTCAAGCTTTCAATATGACCTTGATGAATACCGTTCAGAATGTCCGCAACTGGCTCGTCAATAATGTTCGAGAACTTGGCAGCCATCGGACCCTGCAGGATACATGTTCTACCAACGTCCTGACCAACAACTGCCTCAAGGTCTTCGCTTTGCCACAGGGAGTCCTTCTTGAACCAGTATTCGAAGTTCTCATCCAGAGAGGGGACGAACGGCACTGGCTTTTGACCGCGCCGCTGGCAGAGCAATAAGAAGTGCTGTACATCTTGGGCGTTGATCAACTGAGATGCCGCTTCCGGATAGGAAGCCAGGATGTTGTCAATGGCCGGGTACGGGGTGTTGAGCTCCGAGTAGTTTTGAAGCAGAGAAGGTTGACCCTCAGTAGTGGTGAATCGTTCTTCAACTCGACGGATGAAATCACCGGTCAGCTTCTTCAAAGATTCATCAATCCATCTACTCTCATGCTTGACATACATAAGGTCCACCATGCGGTGAACCACTTCGGTGTAAGTCATGTCTTCCAGGTCGACTGTCTCTCCGGCAGCGTTGCGACCGAACCAAACCTTCTGGAAATCGTCGTTGAGCTTTTGGATGATGTAGTTCCGAAGCTTCTTGAGCTCGGGGACACGCTTTGCCTTGTCAAGCTTGAAGATCTTCTGGTCCATTTCATGCCAGAAGAGAACACCTCGAGTGGCCAACTTGTGAATAGGCTCACCCATCTCCGAAAGAACGGTGACAACACCACCTGCCGAGCCCTTGTAAGTCTTCTCCCAGTCCTTGTCGTCGAGACCCGGAGCCTCGGCAATGGCCTTCTTGGCGTTCTTGGATGTATGCGCTTCTTTGGAGATCATCATGCGACTGCCGAACAGGCATCCATCGAAAGGCATAGGCGGGTAACCGAAGCCAGAAGACCAGGTACCAGACAGGTAAGGATAGGTATCTTCCGAGCCGCCGAAACCACTGCCAGCAACCAGAACGATATTCTCGCAGCGCCTAATGCGGCTATACATCTGCAAAATTGGCTGGTGGAAATCTTCAAAGGAGTGATGTCCACCACCACGTCCACCAGTCCATTGCAGGATGATAGGGAACTTCGGATTGGCCTTTGCGATATTGATGACTTGCTGAATTGCATCGACAGAGCCCGGCTTGAAGGCGATGTGCTTGATACCCAGCGTTTCAATGTACTCGTTGGCCACCTCGATAGACGGCACACCGGCACCGATGGTCAATCCTTCGATTGGCACACCCTCAGCCCTCAGCCTGCCAATCAGGGGAATTTGCCAAGCCATAGCCCGGGGGTTAACATAGATCAAGTTGATTGTAATACCA